CAACTTTGACATTTGTCACTTTCCCAACCCATGCCATCCACCTTGTCCAACTTGGCCACACTTGCCAACCTGGTTTGGTTTCACCCAACCATTTGGCAGCAACTACTGTAGAAAAGACGAATTTCCCAACCCCCAAAAGTCTGTACCCCATATTGAGTCAACCCCACAACTTCCCATAGTCACCACAACCAAATATGAAAAGCATACGAACTCCAACGTTCGTAACTTTCTTGTTCGTGCTCCGATTGAAGCGATACTTGGTTCGTCGAAAAGCTCTTGAGAAGAGGAGTCACTTCAGATATCTGCTCAAGCCAAATAACATTTGCACACACTCAGAAAATTCAAACCACACAAAACACAAATTCTTGCACACACTCACACCACGCATGCAACGCACGAACATATGATGGGAGGCAGATAGACGTGAATGCATATGATTGCATCACACAACACTGCCCTGCCGCCGATACAGCCCCACCCTGCAGCAGCTGCCGCGGCCCTGCCCTGCCGCTGTCGTGGCCCCAGCCCTGCAGCTGACGCGGCCATACTCTGCAGCTGCTGTTGCGGCCCTGCCGTCGCTGCCGTCGTGCGCCTACTTTGCCGCCGCCCACCGAGCGCCGGCCCTTCTCGCTCGGCGAGCGCCTGCCCTTCCCGTTGCTGGTGAGCACCTACCCTTGACGAGAAATGAGAATGGATGAATGAACTATGAAACAGTTGGGTTCAAGTACTAACCCTAATTGGGTTGTACCCCTTATGGGCTAACCCACTACAGCCTACACAAATGTATAAGCTATAATGTTCTGACACACCCCCATAGGCAAAGTTGGGGAGAACAAGCGGTCACAAGACCAATCAAACAAAGCAAAGCAAGCTCAGGGTGGATCACAAAGTCACCACACAGTCCGAGCACAAGAGTAAGGCCACAAGGCCAGTTCACATGCAAGAACATATATAGAAAGGTAAACAAGCAAGTGCAGGTATAGAAAGAGTACAGTACAAACAAGATCAAGAAGTGAGCAAGCGAGGCCAGTTAGGCACAAGACCTAGCAAAGTACAGAAGCGCTGATGATCACAAGGCGGAAGTGCCTTGGTGAAGATATCAGCAGTGTTGGCCTCAGAGGCCACGTAGGTTAGACGGAGCTGACCACGCTGCTGCAGCTCACGAGCCAGGAAGTAGCGGAGAGCAATGTGCTTCGTTCTGTGCTCCAGTCTGTGCTCCCAACACAAGGCCAGCATGGCCTTGTTGTCTACGTACAGAACTGGAGGAGAGCGAGGCGGCTCTCCTAGGTCAGTCAGCAGGTAGGCGAGCCAGCGTAGCTCCTGTGCAGCCATGGCCCCTGCGTAGATCTCAGCCTCATAGCAAGAGCTGAGAACAGAAGACGAGCGGGTACACCGCCACAAAACAGAGCCAGAGCCAAGGCTGAAGGTGTAACCCTGTGACGACCGCTGCAGAGCCTAGTCATCAGCCCAAGAAGCGCCAGCATGACCTGTGAGGACTACTCGACGTCGCCCTCCAAGCACTAGCCCCATGCCCGACGTACTGCACACGTAGCGCAACACCCTCTTCGCTGCAGCCATGTGCTCTGGTCTGTGTCTCCCAGGAGAAACATAGCGTACCAAGATGCTAAGAGGGTATGCAAGGTCAGGTCGTGTGCAGGTCATCAGGTAGGCAGCCAACAAGCTCTGGGTACGGGCCACTCGACTCTACGGACTCATCCAAAGGCAGAGCTGAGAGCGAGTGGCGAGTAGACAGAGGAGTGGCCTGAGGCGAGGAGTACGTGAAGCCAAAGTGTGAAGGACCTGCTGCACCATGTGTGACTGAGTCAGGGTAATGGTGCGCTGTGCTCTGTCCCGGGTGATCTGCAAGCCAAGGTAGCTGCGCAGTTCACCCAGGTCTGCGCACGTGTGTCTCTCCTGTAGCTCGGACTTCATGTGGGCGAGTCCAGCAGTGGCAAAGACCAAGTCGTCAACGTACACGAGGATGTAGAACGATGGCAGAGAGGTGTCGGTGCGCAGAAACAGCGACGGGTCGGCTGTAGAAGGAGCAAAACCAAGAGCCGCAAGTGTAGTCCTTAGTGTGTTGTGCCACTCATGGGGCGCCTGGCGGAGACCGTAGACTGGCCGCCGGAGGCTCCACTGGGTACGAGGAGGAAACGACCCAGTGAAGCCAGGAGGGCGGCGCAGCCAGATCTCCTCGTGCAGGCTGCCCTGCAGGAAAGCAGTGCTGAAGTCAAGAGAGTGAAGCTCGTAGTCGCGCTGAGCGGCTATGTGCAGTAGCACCCGAAGAGTGGTCATCTTCGGGGTGGGAGAGAAGGTCTGAAAGTAGTCAACTCCCTGCCGCTGACTGAAGCCTCGAAACACGTAACGCGCCTTGAAGACAGGCGGAGAACCCGACGGCTGCTTCACCCTGAAAATCCACATGCCACTGACGATGTTCGCCCCAGGTGGGGGAACCTCGTCGACGTAGGTGCCTGTGGACTTCCAAGAAGCCATCTCTGCGTCCATGGACGACTGCCACTGAGAGGAGTAGGGACCCTCGATCGCCTCAGCGTACGATCGAGGAGTCGGGATGTCTGGTGCATCCGGGTCTCCCTCAGGGGCAATCAGCGTGGACACGAGATGGGGCAAAGCAGCCGCAAAGCACTGGAACTCCTCCTCGTCCTCAAGGACGTCCGTGCTAAGAGCACACTCACCCTCGACGGACAGAGGACAGATAGACTCAGACTAGGCAACGAGACTGGCAGCGTAGTCTAGACGACAGCGAGCACCAAAGTCGACAAGCTCAGCAACTAGAGCAGACGCAGCAGTGGACTCAAAGGAAGGGTCAGTGACAACAGTAGCAAGAAGGCGCATGACCGAAGGACTAGCAGCACGAAGGGAGTCAGACTCCGGGTCCACAAGAGAATCAAGAGAGGACTCTGGAGGAGATGACAACGGGACACGCAGAGGAGCAGTGGAAGGACGCAGTGCCATCTGGTGTGTGCCAGGGACCGCAGGAGGACGCGGACGCGCAGCACAACGACTAGTGCGAGCAGCACGAATAGGCGACGCAGGACGAGACGCAGGCTCACGACGCTTAGCAAGACCTCCAGTAGGACCAGTGTAGGGAGAAGAAGCAGGTAGCGGGTAGGCGGGCTGTAACTGTGACTGCGAATGGACAGGCTGTGGACACGCTAAGGGAGGAGCACGACCACGAGAGGGCGGGAGACCAAGAACCTGCGCCAGGAGCGGAACGAAGTACGGCCTCCGCCGCTCAGCGCCTCCAGAACCAGCAAGGACGGTACCAGTGTCCCCAGCGGCAGCACCAGCGCCAGCAGCACCTCCACCTCCAACAGCGCCAACTCCAGCACCCTCAGAAGCACCAGCGCCAGCAGCACCGCCAGCACCAACACCCCCAGCAGCTCCAGCTCCAGTAGCACCAACTCCAGTAGGACTGTCAGCACCAGCAGCCTCAGCAGCACCCCCAGACGCACCAGCACCAGTAGAAACACCAGCGCCAACACCCCCAGCAGCTCCACCTCCAGCAGCACGACAGCAACTCCAGATTGCTGAACTCCTGTAGCTCCAGTAGCACCCCCAGACTCAGCAGCACGTCTCCAGCGGTGGGCAAACCACTCGCGCAGCTCCTGTGAAGAGAGCGGCTCCCGCCTTGACGAAGCACCGCCAGCGGCCACACGAGCAGACCCAGCACCCCCATGCTCCGCACCGCAAGGCTCAGCACCTCCAGGCTCACCACCCCCAAGCTCAGCACCCCAAGACTCAGCACCCCCAGGCTCAGCACCCCTAGTCTCAGCACCCCCAGACTCAGCACACCCAGACCCGGCACCCGCAGGCTCAGCACCTCTAGCAGCACCAGAGTCAACAGCTACCTCGACAGGCTCGACTGCGTCAACCTGTGACACACTTGACGGGGCAGGACCCTGAGGGGGGAGGGGGTCTACCTGGGGAGGACCTAGCGCAAGGAAGAGCGGCGGCGGGGGGAGGGGCACAGTGCGGTAGGGGAAGAAACGGTAGTAAGGCACCGACTCGTCAAAGGTGACGTCCTGGGAGAACAGAACACGGCGCGAGGTGGGATGGTAAAACTGCCACCCAGGCGCGTCAGGGGGGAAGCCAAGGAAGACGCAGGGAACTGCACGGGGGGACAGCTTGTCCGCAGACAAGTCGCGGACAAACGCCCGAGATCCCTAGACCCAAAACGCAGACGCATCGCCAACCTTTTCGGTCCACCGCAAGGCGGGGGAGGTCTCTGGCAAGGAGACCCGGGGCTGAAGGTTGAGCTGATGAGCGGTGTACTGAACCGCAAATGGCCACAAAAAATGGGGGGCAGCCGCATGCATCATGGACGTACGAGCGACGTCCATGACCATGCCAATGCGGCGCTCAGCACTCCCATTTTGCTGTGGTGAGGCCGGAAGCGTGAAGGTCTGGCGGATGCCCTGTGCATGACAGAAGGCTTCCAGACGGACAGAGGAAAACTCCCCGCCTCTGTTTGAGTGCAGACGCAGAACAGGAAAGTCGGCGCGAGATCTCTCTCTGAGCTGGAGACGAGCTGCGCGGATCCAGTCGATCAACACCTCAGTGACGTCACCCTTGCTTCGCAAGGGGAAGACTGTGGTGTAACGTGAGTAGTCGTCAACCACCAGCAGGAAGTACCGCTCGCGTCCCTGTCCACTGACGCGGGCTGGGCCCCACACGTCCATGTGGAGAGTCTGCAGCGGAGCCTCTGTCGGAGGAAACTCAGAGAAGTGAGGGGCGGCGCACTGTCGCCCCTCGACGCAGGGGACGCAGGTAGGGCCAAGCCCCGGAGGAAGGGGAGGGAGAGACCAAGGGAGACCAGAGACAAGGACACGGGAGGCCATGCCTCGGAGATGAGGCAAGGAGGAGTGACCAAGGCGGTGGTGCCAAAGGAGAGTCTGGTGGGATAGCAGACGACACGAGCAGGGAGTAGACTCAGGATCGGACCTGGACGCCGCAGCAAACACCTTACTCGATGCAGCTACCTAGGCAGACTCAGCAGCCGGAGGAGACTCAGAAGTAAGGGTGTACAGGCTCGACCCTGGCCGACGGGTGAACGTGGCCAAGTGTCGGCCTGTCCGAGCACACGTGCAGTGGGTCACTTGCTGACTTGTAGGAGTAAACTGGTCAACCCCCCTATCCTGTAGGTCCGCTCCACTCACCAAGTTTGTAAAGAACGAGGGGAGGTAGAGACCAGACAGGGTGCCAGAGGGGGCTGCCGGGCACGGTAGGACAGTGGAGAAGCTAGCAAGGACAGGACCCCCAGAGGGGTCTGCAAGGGAGACTACAACCGGCCGACTGAGCGGCGTAAGAGTGGTGCGGTCTTGAAAGAAGGAGCAGGACGCACCCGAGTCCAGGGTGAAGGTGTGGAAGGCCTGAGCCGACGCAGTACCTGAGAGAGCAGACTCACCAGCACCTGGGGCAGCAGATGCACTGGCACCTGGGGCAGCAGACGCAATAGCACCTAGAGCAACAGCCTCACCAGCACCTAGAGTAGCGGCCTCAATGCCCGGGTCTGGCAATACACACAGGTAACAAGCACCCTCAACACTAGTATCAACAGCATACATAGCAGCAAGAATAGCATCAAAGTCAAGATCAAAGGTAGCAACCCCGGCCTTAGTCAGATCTCCCCAGCGAGGGATCTCTGACGCCTCAGGGAACTGGCGACGCCACGCGTCCGTCAGGCGACCAAAGCAGCGCTAGGTGGAGTGCGGGCCTCCGCACTGCTCATCAGCGCGGTCGCCGGTACGGAGGACGTAAGTGCAGGGACCAAAACCCCCACCGCGCTGACGTGCAGTGTACCCCTCACGAAGCTGCTGAGGGGATAGGGACACACCACTCCGCTGCTGCTGCTGGCGCTGACCACCACCGGCGCCACTCCTCTGCGCAGAGTCGCGACCCGCTCCACCACCGCCGCCTTCGCTGCCGCCGCCGCCTCCGCCGCCTCCTCCACCTCCGCCTCCTCCACTACCTCCGCCGCCTCCGCTCCCTCCGCCACCTCCACCGCCTCCGCCGCCTCCACTGCTGCCGCCGCCGCCGCCACCCCCGGCACCACTCCCACCACCACCCCCACTCCCTCCACTGCCTCCACCACCACCTCCATCGCCCCCTCCAGCCCCTCGAGCGCCCTTGCCCCCCTTGCCCTTACCGGTGCGGCGTCTCCCGCTAGGGGCAGACGCAGCGCCGACTGACTCGACACCAATGAGGTCGGCCGCAGCAGCAAAGGCAACAGAGGGCAAGAGGGGGGAGGGAGAACACCCCTCAAAGAAAGGGGTGCGAGGGTCACCACGAAAGGCTCCTACAGCGACTATGCTCTTCTCTATCGCTAGGAGGGCCTTCTCGAGGAGGTCAACGGTGAGAGTGGTGGGGCAAACTGAGAGGAAGTGGTCCCTGACTACGCGAAGAGAGTCAGGGAGCCGGGTGACCATGTAGTAGCGGGTGATGTACATGGGGGGGGGTTCTTGGCGCAGAACTCAGCAGGAAGCGCAGCGTGGTAGCGAGTGTCACTAGTGCGGAGGTGCGTAATGAGGTCAGCGACAGTGGGAAAGGCAGCGAGGTCAGGGAAGAGGTACGGTAGCATGAGGCGGCTCAGTGCAGCAGTGGCAGGGGAAGAGTAGCGTGCAACTACAGTGTGGTACAAGGTCTGAGCACTCTTGTACTGGCTAAAGTGTGCACGCTCAGTGGTGAGTAAGTGGCAGCGCACAGCAAGGCGAGCAGCAGCATCGCGCGTGGCCCACTGTGAGCGAACAGTGGCATCAGCATCAGCAGCAGGGGCAGGAGAGGCACCAGAAGTGAGGTCAAACAGGGAGAGGCCGTCCGCCCTATAACACTGAAGAAACAGCTGGAGGTCATCGACCCAGACCTCAAAGTCAACGGCACGGCCCTCAGCATCAAAAGTGAGGACACTGGGGGTAGCCATGACTGCAGTGGCCTAGGAGGAAGTGAGCTCACCAGTCCGAGGAAGGAGGGGCCGGGGAGCACTGGGAGGAACAGCAGCTTCCGGACAGTAGGGCGGCTCGGTGGCTCGGCGGCAGGGCGGCTCGACTGTAGGGTGGCTCGGCGGCAGGGCGGCTCGGCTGCTGGGCGGCTCGGCGGCAGGGGGGCTCGGCTGTTGGGCGGCTCGGCTGCTCCGTATGCGGGCGGCTCGGGGCCGCAGGTGGCGGCGGGGCCGTAGGTGGCGACGGGGCCGCAGGTCGCGGCGGGGCCGCAGGTGGCGGCGGGGCCGCAGGTGGCGACGGGGCTGCAGGTGGCGGCGGGGTCGCAGGTGGCGGCTGGGCCGCAGGTGGGGACGGGGCCGCAGGTGGCGACGGTGCCGCAGGTGGCGACGGGGCCGCAGGTGGCGACGGGGCCGCAGAGGGGCCTAAACGGGGCCGTAAAGGGGGGCCTAGGTGGGGCCGCGGAGGGGCCGTAAGGGGCCTAGGCGGGGCTGTAAGGGGCCTGACGGGGCCGCGGAGGGGGCCTAGGCGAGGCCGCAAAGGGGCCGTAAGGGGTCTAGGCGGATCGTAAGGGGCCTAGGCGGGGTCGTAAGGGGCCAGACGGGGCCGCTGAGGGGCCTAGGCGAGGCCGTGAAGGGGCCGTAAGGGGCCTAGGCGGGGCCGTAAGGGGCCAGACGGGGCCGCGGAGGGGCCTAGGTGGGGTTGTAAGGGGCCGTAAGGGGCCAGACGGGGCCGTGGAGGGGCCTAGGCAAGGCCGCGACGGGGCCGTAAGGGGCCATACGGGGCCGCGGAGGGGCCTAGGCGAGGCCGCGACGGGGCTGTAAGGGGCCTAAGCGGGGCCGTAAGGGGCCAGACGGGGCCGTGAGGGGCCGTAAGGGCAGCGCGAGGGGCCGTAGAAGGCGGCGCGAGGGGCCGTAAGGGCGCTCACTAAGGGCGGCTCGAGGGTAGGTAAGGCACTTGAAGTGCTACTCGGGTAGGAGTGAAGCGCGCTCCGGGCAGGGGAAAAAAAATCGTGGTGGGCCCTAGGCAGCATTCCCACTCGGGAACCTGCTCTATACCATGACGAGAAATGAGAATGGATGAATGAACTATGAAACACTTGGGTACAAGTACTAACCCTAATTGGGTTGTACCCCTTATGGGCTACCCCACTACAGCCTACACAAATGTATAAGCTATAATGTTCTGACAACCCTACCCGCGCTTCCCGCGCGCCTGCCTTGTTAGCGCGCTGCTGCGCCATCTGCCTGCCTGCCTGCCTACATGCCACGCCTGCCCTGCCCGCGCTGCTACTGCTGCTACTTCTTTTTCTGCTGCTAGGCTACTGCTGCTGCTACTACTGCTATTACTGCTACTGCTGCTACTGGCGGTGGCCAGATGCAGCTCCAGCGACGTCCGCGCGAGTCTCTCACGCCCCAGCAGCTTTGTGACTGGTACGTTAGTTGGGGTTGTGGCGGTAGCCGTCGTGGCTGTCGCCCTGGAGCTGGTTAGACGGGAGCGTCTGGCAGTGGCCAGCTGCAGCTGCAGCAGCGTCCGCGCAAGACACTTACGCCCTAGCAGCTTCGTGAGTGGTACGATCAGAGTAGAGGGTCTCGGAGTACCGTTCGCTGCCCGTACGTCATTCGCACAGGTGATTGGGCTGGTCAGGCTTGCGGGACGCTTGGTCACACACAGTTCCACTACTTTGCCCGTCTAAGCGACGCCTGGCGTACCGAGTTTGGCGACGAGGCTGAGCTCCCCACCTGGCTGGAGCTGCTTAGGCAGAGGGTAGATATCTTTTCTCTTGACTATGATGCTATTCTCACTGCCATGTATGCATTGCCTACTAGTGCTGACGGTGCCTGTTACCTGTGCGTACCGCCTGACCCAGGTATAGAGCCTGCTGCTCTAGGTGCTGGTGAGGCTGCTGCTCTAGGGGCTAGTGTGTCTCCTGCTCTAGGTACTGGTGAGGCTGCTGCTCTAGGTGCTGGTGAGTCTGCTCTCTCTGGTACTGCGCCTGCTGAGGCCTTGTACACCTTCACACTTGACTCTGGTGCTTCTCGCTCCTTCTTTCGCGACAGCACCACCCTCACGCCGCTCAGTCGGCCGGTTCCAGTCTCACTGGCAGACCCCTCAGGGGGTCCAGTCTGTGCGACCTCCTCCACTGTCCTCCCTTGTCCTGCTGTCCCGTCCGGCACACTGTCGGGTCTTTACCTCCCCTCGTTCTCTATGAACTTGGTGGCGGGTTCTGCGCTCCAGGACGCGGGTGTTCACCAGCTCACCCCTGCCTACGAGCGTGTGACACATTGCACATGTGCTCAGACGGGTCGTCACCCGGCTACCTTCACTCGGCAGCCGGGTTCGGGCCTGCACACACTGACTACTGAGTCCCCTCAGGTAGCTGCGTCTGCGTCTGCGTCACGTCAGTTGTCGGCCCCCTGCTCGTGTCGCGCCTTGTCGCACCAGACCCTCCTTTGGCACCACTGCCTTGGTCACCCCTCGGTGCAGCACCTTCGCAGCATGCACCGCCGTGTCCTTGTCTCTGGTCTTCCCAGGATTGTCCCTCCCCTGCCACCCTCGCCTGCTCCTCCCTGTCTTCCCTGTGTCGAGGGGCGGCAGCGCGCCGCTCCTCACTCCTCCTCGTTTCCCTTGACCAGTTCACTCCTGGAGGTCAGCGCGTGACCCACTGTACGTGCTCCCGGACGGGCCGGCACCTGGCCACGTTTACCCGTGCGCCTGGCTCAAGCCTATACACACTTACTACTGTGTCCCCTCAGGTCGCTTTGTCTACTTCTGCGTCAGGTCAGCTAGCGCCCCCCTACTCGTGTCGCGCTTTGTCGCACCAGACCCTCCTTTGGCACCACCGTCTTGGTCACCCCTTGGTGCAGCGCCTTCGTAGCATGCACCGCCGTGTCCTAGTTTCTAGTCTTCCCAGGGTTCTCCCTCCCCTCCCACCCTCGCCTGCTCCTCCCTGTCTTCCCTGTGTCGAGGGGCGGCAGCGCGCCGCTCCTCACTCCTCACGCCATGTCTTCCTCTCTCAGGACGTCACGTTCGACGAGCCGGTTCCCTTTTACCATCTCTTCCCCTACCGCACTGCCCCTCTCCCCCCCCCGCCGCTCTTCCTCGCTCCAGGTGCTCCCCAGGTAGACCCCCTCCCCGCTCCCGGTCCTGCTCCTTCAGGTGTGTCTGAGGTAGACACTCCTCCCTTGACTGCGCCGGTTGAGGTCACTGGTGACTCAGGTCCTGCTGAGGGTGGTCCTACTTGGGGTGCTGCTTCTGGGAGTGCTGAGCCTGGGGGTGCGGAGCCTGGGGGTGCTGAGCCTGGGGTGCGGAGCTTGGAAGTGCTGTGCCTGGGCATGAGGAGTTTGGGGGTGCTGAGCCTGGGGGTACTGAGTCTGGGGGTGCTGCACCTGGGGGCACTGAGGCGTCTGGTGAAAAGTCTCCCTGGAGCGGCCGTCTCCGTAGTCGCTCCGCTTGTGCCTTGCCGCTGCACTCTCGTCGGCGTCTCCCTCTCTCCCCTCAGCAGCTTCGTGAATGGTACGTTAGCCGTCAGAGTCGCGCTGCTGGAGCTAGGGGCCCTGCTGCGGGAGGCGCTGGGGCTGGTGAATCTGCGAGTGGAGTTGTTTCTACTGGAGTTCCTGGAGCAGCTGGTCCCGCAGGTGCTCGTACTGGAGGTACTAGAGCTGCTGGGACTGGAGGTCCTGCTGGACCTGGAGGTGCTGCTGTCGATTATGAGGTTGGAGGCCCTGGAGTTGGAGGTGCCGGTTCTGGGGGTGCTACTGCTGGTGGCCCTAGAGGTGGAGGTTATGGAGCTGATGCGGGTGTTGGCGCTGGAGGTTCAAGAGCTGATTGAGGTGCTGGCGCTGGTGGCGCTGGAGCTTGAGGTTTTGGAGCTGCTGCGGGTGCAGGCGCTGGAGGTTCTGGAGCTGTTGGAGGTGCTGGCGCTGGTGGCGCTGGAGCTGGAGATTCTGGAGCTGCTGCGGGTGCTGGCGCTGGAGGTTCTGGAGCTGTTGGAGGTGCTGGCGCTGGTGGTGCTGGCACTGGAGGTTCTGGAGCTTTAGAAAGTGCTGGAGCTACTGATGCTGGTGGCACTGCACCGCCACGACTGTTCTTCGCTCCGCCATCACCTTTGTCGCTTCCACCGCCTGGCTCCGTGCTTCGCCAGGTGCTTAGCCTCCCGCCTTCTACTGGTCTTCCGCTACAGCCTGGCTTACAGCTGCCTGCTCCTTCTCCTTACACTGAGCTGACAGGCGGTCTTGCTGAGCGTCGTGAGCCTGCGTCTTGTCATGTCTCGCCTGTTCGCACTGTCCCCACTGGTCGTACTGGTCGTCATGTTCCTCGTCCGCGTCCGCCGGCTGTCCCCGGCACACACCTCATGGCCCTGCGTCCTTCCTCTACTCCGCAGCGTGTTCCCCTACCGTACAGTCCTGCGTCTTCTCTGCCTTCCATTCCAAAGCCTGAGTCTGACCGCGCTCGTGCTTACCACCCTACTGTCACGCGTCTGCTAGCCACCGTTATCACTGACCCGTCGTTTGAGTCTGCTCCTGCGTCTGCCTTAGTCGCTGAGCTTGTTGACTTTGCTGCTGCCTGTCGTCTAGACTATGCCGCTAGTCTAGTTGCTGAGTCTCAGTCTGTCTGTCCTCCGTCCGTCGGGGGTGAGTGTGCTCTTGGCACGTACGTCCTTAAGGACAGGCTGGAGGACCTTGAGTGTCTTGCAGCAGCTGCGCCTCATCTCGTGTCCATGCTTGTTGCCCCTGAGGGAGACCCGGATGCACAAGACATCTTGACTCCGCGTTCTTACGCTGAGGCGATCGCGAGTCCCTACTCCTCTTAGTGGCAGATAGCCATGGACGCAGAGATGGCATCCTGGAAGTCCACAGGCACCTACGTCGACGAGGTTCCCCCTCCTGGGGCGAACATCGTCGATGGCATGTGGAGTTTCAGGGTGAAGCAGCCGCCATGTTCTCTGCCTGTCTTCAAGGCTCGTTACGTTGCTCAAGGCTGTCGACTTCTTCCAGACCTTTCCCCCACCCCAAAGATGACCACTCTTCAGGTGCTGCTGCACGTTGCTGCTCAGCATGACTACAAGCTTCACTCTCTTGACTTCAGCACAACTTTCTTACAGGGCAACCTACACGAGGAGATCTGGCACCGTTGCCCACCTGGCTTCACTGGGTCGTTTCCTCCTGGTACCCAGTGGAGCCTACGGCGGCTAGTCTACGGTCTCCGCCAGGCGCCGCCTGAGTGGCACGACACACTGAGGACGACACTTGCAGCTCCTGGGTTTGCCCCGTCGACTGCTGACCCGTCGGTGTTTCTGCGCACCGACACTTCGCTGCCTCCGTTCTACATCCTCGTGTACGTCGACGACTTGGTCTTTGCCACTGCTGACAGTGAGGAACTCGCCCACGTGAAGTCGGAGCTGCAGAAGAGACACACGTGCACAGACCTGGGTGAGCTTCGCAGCTACCTTGGCTTGCTGATCACCCGGGACAGAGCACGCCGCACCATCACACTGACTCTGTCACACATGGTGCCGCAGGTCCTTCAGCGCTTCGGCTTCACCTGGTCCTCAGCACAGGCCACTCCTCTGGCTACAGGTCACTCGCTCTCAGCTCCACCTTCGGACGAGTCCGTAGAGCCGAGTGGTCCTTACCCAAAGCTAGTGGGCTGCCTCATGTACCTGATGACCTGCACTCGTCCTGACCTTGCGTACCCTCTTGGCCTTTTAGCTCGCTACGTGGCTCCTGGTCGTCACCGAAAGGTGCACATGGATGCTGCTAAGAGGGAGCTGTGCTACTTGTGCAGTACATCGGGCATGGGGCTCGTGCTTGGAGGACGGAGCGACGTTGTCCTCACTGGGCACTTAGACGCTTCTTGGGTTGACGACCAGGCTACGCAGCGGTCGTCAAAGGGTTACACCTTCAGCCTTGGCTCATGTTTAGTTTCTTGGCGTTCGACACGCTCGTCTTCAGTTTCTGGGCGTTCTACATGCTTGACCTGCACTCGTCCTGACCTTGCGTACCCTCTTGGCCTTCTAGCTCGCTACGTGGCTCCTGGTTGGCACCGAAAGGTGCACATGGATGCTGCTAAGAGGGCACTGTGCTACTTGTGCAGTACATCGGGCATGGGGCTCGTGCTTGGAGGACGGAGCGACGTTGTCCTCACTGGGCGCTCAGACGATTCTTGGGTTGACGCTTTGGCTATGGGGGTGTGTCAGAATGTTGTATTTGTCTAGCCTGCAGTGGGGTACTCTATAGCGAGTACAACCTAGTTTAGGGTCTCCTATATGTACTCAACCGCTTGCTAGTGCAACCCTCTCAATCTTGTTTCTACTTCCTGCTGCTAGATTCTCACACCTCCTGCCTCTGGCCTATAGACAGAGGAGGACACAGCAACAAGACCGGCAGCTTGGTCTACCGAAACTCCCGCAAATCAAGCCGCGGGCTTCGACCCAAACATGATGGAGGAATTCTTCTCCTTCATGTCCTTCTACAAACAACACCAGCAAGGGGCACCTGCGCAGTCAAACAACAGCAACAACAACATCGCAACACCGATGAGCCTCGACGGTTCAGTCTACGCATGACGAAATCAGCAACAACAACCTACCTTCGCCCCGTACGAACCTCAGCGCGGTTCT